GAATCCAAAAACCCTGACTCAGATGGCCCAACCTTAAGAACGAATCAAACAGGCAACAAGGCTTAAGCAACTGTGCTGTCTATCCATCCTTCCACCTGTCCGTCCTTCCCTGGGAACTCGGTGTGTCAGACAGTCTCACTAAACTGAGGGAACTACTCAAAGGTAATTAAGGTCCTGTAAGTTTTGGGGAGTCGGTGTCAGAGGAAGGAAGAGAGTCCAGTAAGGGAAGGACTGGGACTTGGCTGCGGTGCACCCTGCATGGCAGCAGATGGACAGACAGGGGGACAGATGGTCTGCAGATGGTCCAGATGGCCTACAGATGCCATCAGGGTTGCCCAGCTGAGACCCCAAGGACAACACTGGGAGAAGCTGGATTTTCCTAGAGCTGAGGTTTGGCTGATGTGATAGACAACCAAGATAAACCTGCAGGAAAGCCAACCTCACCTGGTCCTACACTGGGACCACCCTCTTTTCTAAACAGAAAAGAGGAGAGAAGAGGAGTCCTCATCTCTCACTCTTCCCTGTGCTAATCCAGCCATTTTCTCCAAGTTGCCCTCATTTCACAGATTAACACAACACAGCATGAGCCGTCCAGCTCCAGCATTAATTCTCTTGAACCAGCCTCTGGTTAGCAGGAAAGCAGGATTGATTGCCTTGGCCCGCCTGAGCCCCATCTCCTGTTTCCAGCAGCTGCCACTGTGAGAGATTTCAGGAAGAGGCCACCACGGGTCTCCTTCCAATGTACAAGGGTGTGGGGTCTGGCTGCCGAGCGAAAAGCCCTCCCGGAGCACAGTGTAATGAGCCATTCCCGGGGCAGGTGATCCCAACACAGCACAGAAGGAATCGCAAATCAGGGCTGAAATGTCACATTTGCTTCTCTACCCATTCAAAATGCTGCTTTCTGAAGATTTCCCCTCCTCTCCTCGGCCAGGAGAGCTGTTGTAATCCAATGATGGAAAAAGAAACTCGATCGTGTCGGGGGATCAATCAAGTCCATGTTAGCAGAGCTGCCAAAAATGCTGAGACGGGGATTACCCACACCTATCTGATCCGGGGTTTGTTTGGATGCAGTGAGCACGCAGCCAGCCGCCGGGAAACGCTCCCACATCATCCCCAAGTACTGAAATTCTCAGGCACATCACACCAAGCCTGCAGCGTTGATAGTGGTGTTACCCTCTCACCAGGAAGCCTCCTGGACCCCCCCGCAGCACCCAAAAGAAATCAATCCGTTCCTGCACATACAATAAGAGCTTGCAATCCAATAACCGCTATCTAAAACCAGGTTCACTTCCAAGCCCTGGGTTGATTATTATTGCATTAGCTATGGAGGAACATATTGTTACCTCTCAATGAATGCTAAACTCCACTTCAAAGAGACTGAATTTCGGCAGTGGAAGGTTATACAAATGCTTTGACAATTGCTTTTTGGACCCTTCAGAGCAGATAGGTGCTAGAATAAAACCCAAGGTCTTATTGATAGAGGCACTAGTAAAAACAGGCGTAAATGATTCCTCAACACAGCTGTTTTCCAGAGTAGGTTATTCGAGGGAAGTAATTTAAGACATCTTTGAGAGAGAGAAATATTCGATTAACTCTTTAAACCAGCTGCTGTGGAATGATGTGAACGTCACAAAAAAGATCATTTAAATGAACAAATGACAGCTGACTCCAACAAAAAAAAAAGCCTTTTTCATGCCATTTATACCACTGCAGGAGCCTGGACGGGAGGAGAGCAGGGATAGCAATGGGTTCGGATAGATGGTGGAAAGGGAAGAGCCAGACATGGCAACACACACCACCAGCACTATCCTAAGCACACCAAGTAAGGCTTATCCTGAGTTAACAACAGCCTGTTCCACACCAAGGATGACGCCTCTTTCTACGCTTGGTACCTTCTCAACGGTTAAAAGAGGCTTCTAGCAAAGGAGCAAAACAAACAAATCCCACAGCACCAAACTCATTTTCTTACTTAAGACAGAGCAACAGGAATGGAATAAAAATAAAGGTTTCCATAGCTTCTAACAGCTTGCCAAGAAGGCCAGCATCGCACAAGTAATTAATATGGACAACATGAATTTCAATTCTTTCATTTGCAAATCCAGCATCACAGTTAATCTCAAACATGGACGAAGTCCATTAATAAAGTAGATTCATGTAATGGGATTCAAAGCAATGGCAAATCAATACATAACCCACTTGTATGCTAGAATAATCTATGCTTTGCATAATAATCACAGTAACTGTAATGCTGTGTATTTATATGGAGACATATTCAAGACCAGCCCAGGCCACCTAACAAGCTTGGCGAGGTCTGTTTCTCCTGCAGTGGGATGCAGCCAGTGCCGGGAATGAACGGCCACTGAAGACCTACCCAGCAAGAAAACCTGATAAACCTGTGCACAAAGCAGCTGCAGCAGGGAGGATGCTATTTAACACAGAGGGCTGGCACTCCTAATTCAAAAAAATACATGGAAAATGCTATATTATGTCCCATCATGTCTTTGTAATTCCGATAAAAAAAGGCTACCATCGCTGAACGGAGATGCACACCCATAGTTACCATCCAACGTGTTCCCAAAAGCCACGCGAGGGGCAGGGGTTGTCTGAGGAGCGCGAGGAAGGGATAAACTCCTCAGCGTTCCCATTGCAGGAATTACAGTTGGAGCCGGCGGCAGCCGCCCCCAGCCGGTGGCTCAGAAGCAGTTTCATTAAGCACCCACTGCACGTGCTTTTGCACAACGATACCCACTGCACCGAGGCGGCGAGTTATCCCTCCAATTATGGGATGGTAACAGACACGCTCTGGAACCAGCCACATCTGCTCTGACCTAGGGAGAAGTAGGGGTACCACCCACCTCTCCAATTAACTCCTAATCAAGTCTGTGACATGCCTTTTTTGCAGGAGCTGTGCCTAAAAGTGATGTCACAGCAATATGTAGCATGAGAGCTAAGGCTTAGCATCCAGCCTTAGCTGGAGAGTCTTCTCCTAAATAAACTGGAGAAATGAGTCTGAGCAAGTCAAACCCACGTCCCCAGACTCACATGCTGCTGCCTTCTGCCTTTTAATGTCCACGTCTGCAAACACCTGTAGTTGGGAGGCCACGGTTCTGCTCTCCTCCTTCTCCTTCGGGATGTCTTATCTCATGCTTGCCAAGTCAGAAAACCACTTAAATACCTGATTAACTACAAGCACATGTTTAAGCCCCACTGAAGCCAAAGGCCTTTGATTAGCAGAGCACTTAATACAGGTTTTCGCTACGCAAAACTTCTCTGCCGCTGCCCTTCACTCCCCGGTCCCTTCGCGGCAGCACAGGGTACGAGGCCACACCACGAACATCAGCTCACCAGAGTGAAACACAGCTTCAGCCA